TCTCTCTCTCTCTCTCTCTCTCTCTCTCTCTCTCTCTCTCTCTCTCTTCAGCCAAACGAAACAAAAAGAGGCAAAAATTTCAAGATCGGCATTGTAGTTCTTATTTGGTGGATGTGTGTTTTGTTAATTCAGATGGTTTTTTATTTTATACGAAACCAATTCTATGGTGTGCAGAAGAAGAATTTTTCGACGAAAAAAAAACACACGCGGATAAACGCACCGAAAATATGTGAAGAACTTAACAATGGACTATTAATTTTAAGTTCTGACTTTTAATGCGAACACATTGACTGATTGTTCCATTGAAATGAACTCGGTGAAAATGTGTGGCGAAAATAATAAACGTACTTGTGTAAAATTGGGCACCCAATTTCAATAGAATCAACTGACAAAAGCAGTGCTCGCATGAAGATTTCCTGTTTTTTACGGCAATTTTCAGCAAATACATCATACACTCATTTCCATTGTTTTTTAAATCCACACAATCATTTTCTCTCTATTCGCTCTTTCTATGTGTGTGTGTTTTTCGTCTAACGAGGGTCATTACACTGCACACAAGTTGAATTAATCATATTTCCTTAAAAATGTCGTACAAATCAAGCACCGTTTTCTAATTTCGATACCTGCAAAAATGAGCAGCCGAAAATCAAGAAAAAAAAGCATTATCTTCCGTATGCTGTCGCTTCAATGGACTGGATTCAACAATGGTTACTCAATGGTTTTTTTTCTTTCTTTGAATTATTATATTTACGTTTCTCTTTAGAAATGGCCAATGAAATGGTGAGCCACAGAAATATAGATAGACAATAGGAAAAAAAAATGTGAACATTCTCCGAAATGATTAGATCACACTCTCACAAAACGTCATTATCAAAAAATCATTGCGCTGTGAGTGCGCTTCGCGCAAATGAAAGAAAGAAAATGAAATGTCATCTCGTTTCTCGTTCATTGTTGTCGTATACCTTTTGCAAAAAAAGTATCACATTTTTAGCACAGATCATTTTTTTTTTGGCAATCATGAATGCAGAAAGTAAACCACACCTCCTTTTGCAATAACAGCCGCACACAATTCATTACAATTTCTATTTTTTATGGTTTTTCGTTTGCAGACGAAATGCCGAAAAATTAAACCAAAGTGAGAAAAAAAGAACTAGCGAAAAAAATGCAAAAAGAAATGAAAATCTTAATCTTGGCCGAGTCGTTAAATCATTCTCTACACTCTCTTGTTTCGCTTTCGGCATTTGGTTTTGCGGATTAATTTGCAATTGTCTAATTAATTTCATGAATATTAGCAACCATTAAATCGCAACTGAATGGAAAGAAAGACAGACAGAAAAATGTGACACAATTAATTCCATGCGAAAAAAAATAATCAAATCATTCATTCAATCAATTCTTTTTTGCGTTGTTCTCTTTTAAATTGCTCAATAAACCGAAAAATCGAAATTGAATAGATGACTTAAATTTCAAATGATTGCGGTGGCTACCCGATGATCCGATTGCCGTTAAAGAGAAGAAAAACAAAAATAGAGAGAGAGAGAGGTTAAAAAAAGTTGCGACAGAATGGAAAAATTGGGCAAATCGAATCGATTCGAGAGAATATCAAAACACACTTCTAATTTAAAGGTCAGACGATGACGATTTTTCAATTTTACGTGCTTTGAATCGAAAACAATTTGCAAAAAAATGTAATAGCAGTAAATGTGTAAATGTTGCGGCTATTTTATTTTCTACATCTGAGTTGTGGCTTGTTTTAATTTACTTATATTTGTAATTCGCATGTACTTTTAATTTGATTTGTACATATTCGATTGACTGCATTTACAAAGAAACCGTTTTCAATTGAATTAGGTTTAAAATAGTGAACACGCATCAAACCATTCAATACATATGAAAATCATACACGATGTTTGATGAGATGTCAAAATATGTTAAACAGCCCATGAACCAGCAGGAACTGTAACTATTTCGATTCGATCTACCTCTTCTGCTTCTTCTTCTTCTTATTTCTTCAACGTCGGCCGAACCATGTTTGGCGCGCTGTACGTACAACACATTTGTATGAATGTGATAAATTTTCAAATGAAAAGCATTTGGATGTGCGCAATGAAAATATGTGCGGTTTTGTTTTTGATGATTTAGCGTATTTTGCTACTTTCAATGCGGTAACAAAGCTAATCGATTCATAATGATCAAAAGTGAGAGCTTACAATCATCTCCTTCTCGCAGTGTGTGTGTTTTTTTTCGCGAGCACGTAGACATTTTTGAAATGTGTCTACTGTCTATCGTGCCAAAGTACAAGTTATCAATTAATATCAATGGCATTTGATGATGAATATTTTGATAAGTTGCGTGCTCTCTATGAAAGTTTTTTTTCTTTTTTAATTCGTAATGAAAATCGATCTCAAAACAACGACGAAGCACACACATAAAAATAGAATGTTTGCAACAAATGAAATATAACTTTAATGATCATTTACAATTGGGCGCCAGCGATCATTCACCTTCATGATTTCGGCAATAACAGCAACAACAACAAAAATATACGACATTTTATACGAATCAATTATCAATTGATTCATTTCATAGCTGCGAGCTACACACTGAAATCAGGTATTCGCATACAAGAATCGAAATCATAATTACAGGTATCTCGAAGAAGACGGTTCATTTCGTTCAATTTGAATTGAAATCAAATCAAATAGATTGTATCAATCACAAAATTCACTCAGAGCGAAACTTTGGCATTTCCAAGCACAACGCATTCGATACCATTCTTTTTTTATTGTGCTCGCTCTCTGCTATTCATTTCTAAATCGTTAGTAGATTATTATACGCTGTGATGCCTTCGGGGGCGAAATGTATTTCTTTTTCATCATTATTTAATGCATGGATTTTGAATACTCAATAGATAATAATTGAGAAATTATTAAAACAAAC